ACAACTATTAAATGGCTAAACCTCTGAAAATACTCTTCTAAAGGTAACTTTATTTTTCTAAATTCTGATGCCTAGTCTAAACTCACCTTTTTGAGCACCCCTTTCTGAAGTAAACTGTTCTTCTTTGCACACATCACAAAGTAATGCGTCTCATCTTTGTAGTACACAATGTTCTCAAGGTCAATACCAGTGCTATCTTTCAAGTCTTGGAAAAACTGTTGATTGAAAATGAAGGCAACCCCACTTATCTCCTCCACTCTGGCCTCTTCCTTTGAATTTTTGTTCACAAAGTTCACAGTGATACCAATGGCCAGCTTGCCACGAAATTCCTTTCCTTTAAAACCTTTCAATGCAGCACGCCTGCCATCTGCAGCCACCACAATGTCAAAATCAAATTTATTGAGGTGATGAGAGGGTGAGTCAAAGTTTCCTCTCCAGCCATGAGCTGAAATTAAAAAACCCATATCAAGCATTATAGAGATGTAAATGACAAAATGATCTCCACAGACAGTTAGCATTAAGACAAAATAACTTTTCTCAATGTTTTAAATGTGTAAACCTAATAATTAGTAAATTCACACTACTTAGTTTGGCCAACAGGATCAACACTCTATAAAAACAATCAAGGAAGAGGGAGAGGGGTTCTTACTTGAGAAAAAAGTTTGATTTACAAACATGGCAGAGGTCAAACACAATGGGGGCCACAAAGTCAAAAACAAGAAAAACAACTGTACTTACCATCTGTTGGCTCCACTAGATTAAGGAATCCACATTTGGCATAAACTTGTACTCCAAGCAAGAGGGACACCTTAAGTAGAATAACTTGAAGTCTACGAATACCTAAAATAAGAAGTTCCACTCATTGGCACATGATATTAAAATTACTTAATTATGTTTTTTATACATGTCTCTGTATTCAGAGTATTTCAACCTGCTTAACAAGCACAGATAAGATCTTGTTTAGCCAGGAGATACTCAAAATGTTTCAATAGTGAACTTTGGGTAAATAATATGAATTTACTTCTCAAGTGGAGAGCACTTGATCACCAACTAAAATGATTCAAAAGTATTGGCACTTTGCCTTCTGATAAAAGGAATGATGATAGACCAGTTATTTTCCCTCTTTAAATGATTCTTGCATTACTAAAATTTAACAATAAAGAGCTATCCTTATCCAAAAAAGGTTCTAAATTTGTTCAAAAAGCATGCTAAAAATAGATTTTTAACCTACAAATCTGAATTCGACAAAAGGCATTATTATTCATCACTGCAGGAAAAGAGGTGTAGTTAATTTCAAATTGTTTAAATACCAGTGGGACAGCATTTTTGTTCCATGCACGGTTTTTAGGATCAGGCTAAGTCATCCTTAGCCAAATAACTGCATTTTGATGAGGAAGAACTGAAAGATATTCATTTCCTCGTTCCTATTTTTGTGCGCTGAATGGTTTGTTGCAACTCTTACACCGATTCGCAAAAAGCCACCTGCAGTCTCTAATTTGTGAAATTAATTCTGACAATACACAAACGGATAATTCATCGTGAACCTTCCTATAACGGTCACTTGAGAGATACTCAGAAAACAGAAGGAAATACAGAGCTATTTCCTAAAGAATTTATTTTGAGACGGAACGGCGCTCTATGAGGTTAATTGCCTCGCTTTGGGTTAATTAGAAGGAAAAAATAATTCAGCGTCGTGTTGTCTTCAAAGAAAAATATGTTTAAGAGTGAAAAACAACTGTGTTTAAGGTTTGAATCCTTTATGATCACTAATGGTTATTGTAGAAGTCATATTTTGTTTCACTACAGAGAATATACATCTCAACTCTTGTCATGTCACACTGAGGGGAACAGGAGAAGTTATGTAATGTACTGAACCTCATGCGATGCATGATAGAAATCACACGAATTATGACTTAAATTGAGCATTAAAAACCAAATGGCGATCATTGCCGGATAGTTAAGAGTCAGTTTGGTTAGATTCGATCGATTTTTTCGGCAATAATTGCTGAACTGTTTTGTATAATATACTGAAACGATCCATAATTTCTCACGCAAAAATGTACTCTGATATTTGGTAAGTACGTCTAAGATTCCGGAAGTAACAAATATTCAAGGGAATAAGGAAAACTACTTACTTATGTGATCGATGGCTCCAGCACAGAACTGTCCAAAAAATTTCTTAGCTCCTAAATTTTTCAAGTCCACAATTAAGAATGGCCACAGATGAAGGACATTGTTGCGAGAAAAACGATCTCGTTTTTCGATGACAACGACGTAAGCACCGAGCAAAGCGGCTTCAATTGCCGATCTCAATCCACATGGCCCTGCACCGATGATGAGCACTTTATTTTTGACACACGGCTTGTTTCTGTAGTCCTTGTGTTCCGCTCGTTTGTCTAGTTTCGTCCATAGAGACTTGCACTTCCAAGAAGTTAATTTGGACTTGAGGGAAGCATATAGCGTCTTGTGATTTCGGGGGTTCACGTCGACGCTTTGACAAAGTTTTCGGAAAACGTCTAGCGTCTCCTGGAGATCGGTAGTTTGAAGAAAGGCATCGAATAGTTCACCCGGCGTCAGAGTGCAGATCTCTTCTTTGAAATGACCATCTTCTTTTTCCATAGCGCATCAAATACTTGACTCTCGTGAGCTCGGAGGAGTGGTTCGCTCAATAGCTGATACTTGTCAATGCTCCAAATAACTCGAATTATTCACCTTTTTACCTTTTGAGCGATAGTTTCGACGGGAGCCTTTCCAAGTAAGATTCTAACTTGAATCATTTCTTCTTGGTTTTAAGCCAAAGATACAAAATTCAAGCGAAACATGAGCATAATTTCCATGTCAAACAAGACGTTTATGTAATAAACAAAATTTTAAAGGTAGGGAAGTTTGTCAGCGGTGTCCTCCCAAGAGACTTCCTACTCTATTTACATTGTACTTCTTTGCTCTCTCTTTTGTACTTCAAAAACCGGAAGTCACGGGCTTGTCACATCAGAATTATTTGGCAATGAGGCAATGAAGTGACTTGAATTCGTCATTTGCTTTTATAATTCCTAAGGTTAAGGGTTAATCCCTTATTTGAAGAAGAAAACTATAAATCAAATGCTGTTAAGTGAAAACTATTTCATCTCTCTGTTAGCCTCGACCTTTTAAAATCACTCAAGCTTGTGATCATCACATCGAAATCAGCATCCACGACGTACGTCATTTCCGGTAGCATGTGAATAACCTAACCATTTTGAAACTACTGATGTAGTTTTCGTGCAATAATCTTTTTTTCGTTGGGAAAAAAAGGTAGCTGACGGTGAGAACCGTCAAAATTTCAGTTTCGCGAGGATGGCATCCTCTTTGAGAAAGCCTCAATATGTAAATGTTTTTTTCTTATTAAGATACTTTCCAATACATATCAAGCTATGATGTTAACTAAAGAGTATCGTTTCGTTAAATATCTTCTGGGCCAGCAAAAAGATTGAACGAAAATATTTTTATTTACCTTGACCTCTTTTGCGGCATGCTTCAGCGAAAGGGCTGCAACAACAGGTCTCGTGATTTAAAGGACAGGAATATCCTTTTCAACTGACCGAGGTGCTTACGTAGCTATGTCCTCAGGGCCTTGGGGTAGTTGATTGTTCCTGAGTCTTAAAATGTTGTTGTGAAGAGTACAAATTTGAGGAGAGGTTTTATTCAGTGTTGAACTACCCCCATTAATATTACACAAGCACAAAGAATAGATTTAGTGAATACTTCGGGTCGATAAATCCTAGGTTCTAGCGCTTCAAGTCTTTCTGCTAATTTTATAACTTCGCAATTTCGTTTACAGGAATGAAGAACGTGAAATAATTCAGCAACTGAGGAACCGCACGTAACTGCTCTCTGATGATTTCTGAGGTCACTGAACATGCATTTCACTGCAAAAAAAAAAATAAATAAAAAAAATGACGGTGCTCAGTTGTGTATGAGGCCGGAGAAACGCATTACCTATGCGAGTTACTTAAATTTACGCCGGTAAAACCTCAAAGTCTACTTTTATGACGAAAACCATCTGTATAATCTAGGTAATAAATTATTTACAAAACGATTTCTAGGTTCATCTTCCACCCTCTTTCCGTTTTTTTTCTCTTTCTTTTCATTTCAGACATTATAATATTCATTTCTTCTCCTGCTTTGAGAGTGGAACAAGGCATTTTATCACTGGTAATCTTTTGAAACTGAAATATCTTGAGTGCTATATATATGGCAGTTTGAAATTGCAGTTAAAAGTGCATAAGTTGAACGCAACCTTGATCAAAAAATTATTCAATTTTCTTATCATCTAATTACATCACGGGGTGGAACTGAAAAAGAAAAAAGTGACCAATTAATTTCAACTGTTTAAAGACTTTCATCATTTAAGATTAAAAATGATCATACCTGCTCGTGACAGAATCCTACCCAGCATGATGAAATAAAGCTTGATAAATAGAGTTATGGTTGATTTTAATTTTATAGCAATTGCACGTGTTTAGGTCGTGTCGGCTCTTAATATCCATCTGGTTTCATGCGGGGGATTTTTAATTTCGGTGAACTTATCCGGAAGATTCAGTTTTACAAGGCCCTTGTAAAACTGAATCTTCAAGGCTGCTGGAGTTGACATAAGTTTTGGACACTTTTGTTTTGTTTTGTATAGATTTTTCAGGTCTTTCTTCAATAGCAAAGTAAAAATGACTGTTGTACCTTGTTGCAAAAATTGATGAAACACCTGAATAGTAACATTTTGCTTCAAGCAAAATGTTACTTTAATGAGTCCTCATGGAAACAAAGATTTCTGTGCCTGATTTGCAAAGTTTGCAAATCAGCCATATAAATCTTTGTTTCCACGAGGACTCATTATCACTGACAAGTTTTTTTTTTACATCAATCTAAATCTCTGTGAACCCACAGTTATCCACTTTCAACCACTTGCGCACAGCTGTCTGCAAATTTGTTTTGCAACTGAACAAATTGCTTCTTTCAACAGCACTCGATCGATTTAAACACCGAAGATAATTAGTTCTTTTGATTCTTTACATTTCGCGTAATGAGCTAAGACAGGGTCTTCCTCGCAGGAAATCAGAGAGAGATACACATTACGAGTTGCGGTCAAACTGAATCACCCCAAAACCAACAAAAGTTCCTCCTATAAATTCAATCAGGGTTCAACTGCTGTTTCGTTTGAGGAAAGCCGAAGAATGGCAGCCGTTTTAAGGTCGATCTTTGGATTCCCCCTGTGTTGCTTTCCTTGTTTAGGGAAAGCGAAGAAGAATCCAGTGTCACAAGCCAGTGCAGGAATCGGAGATTTGTGTGGTTCATCTGGAGCAGAGGAGAAATGTCCCCTTTTCAAAATTTTTGATGGATCTTCCTCAAGGTTAGTTTATATTTACCAAAACGATCATGCCAATCATCTCCATCTAAAAAAAGGATTTCATTAATCAAGAGCCTTGTATTTCTTCTTTTTTATAAAGATTTGAGACTTCAATTCGCGACAATGGTATATTCTTTGGCCAGTTTTGATCTCTATTGACTTCTCTGTAAGCATGGAAAAATATTCCTGTTCATTGTTGTCTAACGTACAACAAGCTTTAACGTTACAGCAGCCTTTTTGGTCCCCTCTTCTATTGTGGCGCTTTCTACACGCTTTAGTAGAATTCTCCCAAATCCTATGGATCGTATTTTCGGTCACTTAAATGGAGCTTCCCTGAAAAAACCAAAGATGTTTTCCTTGACTTATTTGAACGCGAAAATCACTTCAATGATTTGAAGCCACCATTGCAATTTCATAAAAAAAGAATAATTTATTTTCTAAAATAAGCGGGTAAAGGAATTAATTCTCAATTAATTTATATATCAGCCATCGGTGATTTCCTTTATACAAATTCATCGGTTTAACGCTAAAAGATAAAAAATGTTATTCATTAAATTTTAAATACCACACAGTCGACGTAAGAATTTGTAACGATAAGGGGAGCACGTACAACCGACGGTGCGTTTTCAACACTTATTTCCCTCCTCAACCAAATAAAAAAGAAATACCAACAACTAGTCCATACCATCCTGTCCATGTCGTAACCAGAAAGTTACCATCTGTTCAGGAAGAAACTGCATGAATGAATAATGTGCTTTTTATCTCTTTACATAGCGCAAGTGGTCAGCGGAAAACTCCAACTGGAAAGAAGAAGACGTCCATTCGGGATGTTTGAGAGGTATTCAAACCCATAACTTTCAAAGAGTCTTCTTCCTTTTGATTGCATGTGGAGGGGGGGAGGGTGGGGAGACATCAACTGTAGATAGATAGGGCGCATAAAGTTACCTCTTTGTCCAGGGTTTTGTCATTCGCCCAGTGGTTTGTCCGTCGTTAGAAAATTAGCAAATTTGTCGTTGCAATTCGTGCTCATCGCCTGCCCTTCAGCCATACTTGTTTTTTGGAAGGTTAGATATTTCTCGGGTGTTTAGCTACCGTCTCAAACAGTCATCAAGCCGCTTCAAAGCCTTCTATGCCAGCACTGGGGCCGAAAGGTGTTCTTTCTTTTCTTTTCAACAAAATTTCAATGTGACTTAGAAAACGCCTTTGCCTTTCTTTTGCAGGCAATCGTGGCTCAAATTACCTCTATTTGTCAATGTTGTCCGACCACGTAGGTCAATGCTTGGACGTTATCCAAATAAATCTAGTACGCTAACATTTATAAATTGGATAGTTAATAGAAAAAAAAAAAGTAAAATAGAGCTCTTGTAACGTTAAACATGTCAATAACAAGGAATTCCATTGTCAACAATGAGTACATCGTTTATATAGACCCGTAAACATATAACAAAAGGAAGACTTAATTCGACGTTAAATCCGACACATATTAACTGTACAACATGGGTTTAAAAATCTGTGGTCTGTGGGTAGACTTTTGTAAATGTGTAGACATTGCAAACAAGACAAAATAAAAAAGGGGCCATATTAGTTCTTAGTGAATATTTTATTTGATATGCATTGAATTAATTACAATGACAAAAAAGGGCTCGAGCTTCGACAGCCATTTCATCGCTCCTCAGTCTCCCCGCATTTCTCCTGAGGATATTTTCTATATTTCTCCTGGTAAGAACTCTTTGCAAAGCATCGAGCAGCAATCAGGTCACATTTGCACAACAGGCTGCGACATTTGCCATACATCATATATGACGAAGGGCGGTCTGCAACATTAGATTTGAAAAGGAGTAAAATTAGTGAGTATTAGTTTATACTAAAACAAACGATAGCGTTGAAGGCACGCTCTGATTGGCTACTCAAACTCTGAAAATCCTTTTCTATTTACCTCCTGCAGCTGATAATACTTGTGAGAAACAATTCGGACTCCCGCCTTTGCGGTCGTTTGATTTGGTTAACACTCGTACAATTACAGATTGAACTGGACTTCACACGGTTTTGATACCATTACCTCGGTATCAAAAAAAGGTAAAAAAAAAAAACGCAGTTTTACATTTGATTGGTCGAAAGCGTGGTGCGATTTCACTTGACCAATCACAAAACGTAAAGCCATGAAAATCCGAAGAATTTGAGACACCGAATTGAAAGTTGCTCTTCAAGGTTTGATCAAGAGTATGTCAATCCTTAATGTTCTTTTCATTTGCTTAAGATTATTTTCTCCAATTTTTTCCTATGAAAAATGTTCTAATATGAATAAAGGGGATAAGTTTCTAAAGAAACTGTGGTGATGCGTCGGTGGGAGAGTAAAACAAGGTAATTTGGTATTATCAACCGAGGTGATAACGTTATTTGGCCACCATGAGGAGTTTTTAAAGGCTGACGTTTCGAGCATTAAATCTTCAACTTACTGCATTTCGTTTTTTCACCATCTCCGGTTACTGAATACGACATAAGGTACACTGCCTTCTCGAATGGGCAATCCTCTGATTGCATAATTTCATCGTAGCATTTATCATGGGCCTTACAACACCTGCGGATTAATGAATGGATTGACCGTAGGCCAACCATCCTGATCAGTTGAGCTATCTTTGTTGATTGATCAATATACGCCGTATGAAGATGAATCAACCAGCCATCATCAATAAAGAAAGCACTGAATGAAACATATGCACACGCATCACAGCCTGTCTGTATGTTTCGAGAGAATGATCATATTTATCGCCCGTGGAGGGAAGGGGGGGGGGTGGAGGTGAGAAATTTGTGGGGGATCACGCTGTTTTTCAGGGGGAACGGAGGGTGATCAGCTGTCGCCAACAAAGTTTAAAGTGGGTGGGGGCGGGTGGGGATGGGACAATAACCGGGGACAACAACCAGTCCCTTGGGTCATGTGTTTTATCTCTCCTTGTAGTGATCTAATGATCAATCATTCAAACACCCTTTGACTCTTGATTCAAGTTTAACAACGTGAGTGGTAGACGGTTCTTGCAGTAGCTTCGAACTTAGATCCTCTGTAAGTGAAATTTTATTCGAGTCACATGAAGTAATTTATATCCTAAAGACTACCATCTAATATCTTACCCATCGATAATACAGCTGAATCCTTGATGTGCTATGAAATTCTCAATCTTAGCTTGTTACAGCTATAACTAGCAGAATAAAGGTAAGATACTCGCCCGTCCAAATCATCCACGGGTTTGCCTTCCCCACCAATTCCACACCAGCAGCCATAACCAATGAAATCTTTAGGATTTCTTTCAGTGAACTTATAAACCAATATGCCAAAATTGATGACGTTTCTTTTGGTGATGTTGTCATTACCGCCTTTGATTACGTAGAAGAAAACAAACAAAACAGAAAAAAGCGAAAACAAGAGAAATTACTGACAAACAAAATAAAAACTAAAAAATGAAATAGAGTTATAATGAAGAAATACTCTTTTTATAAGAACTGACCCGAAAGCTGTGTGCACGACTTGCACTTGGCTATTATTGTATTTATTCGTTTCGGCTTGGGAAACATTTCCCTCGTCACCGTTTTTGATGACCTTTTTTCTGGGCGTTACGAAGAACACAAAACCGTTTTCCAATTATCTATATTGTATGAACGGATGGAATAACATCTTCAGTTGAAAGTTACTTTTACTGTTAAGACTGGCATTTGATTGGTGGAAAGCAGATCGATAGACAAACTCAGAACGAAATTGAATGTTCTGTTCGAAAGTTGCACAACACGGATACAGTAAATATCGTACTTCGAATCCTGTTAGTTTGAAGATCGTTATCTTAATTATAGATCTTAAGCATCTTATGAAAAGAAAGTAGGTTTTACTTATAAGATCATGGTTCAGATATGATTAATTTTTTTACCTCCTCCTGATGGGTCGGATTCCACCCGTGCGATGAATCCCAAGAGTATTGGCCACAGAAAAATTAAGTTGGATCCCATGGCTAAACTATAGTTCTTGAGGTGATTTTAAGAAGAAGTCTCAGTTTAAAACCAAAGAAGCCGTAACCTCTTATAAGTGATTTGTTGAACAGTTCTAGCTTCGCTTATATATATATCAAATACCGCGTCTTGTTCTCTGCTTAAAGTGGCTTAAGGTAAATTGATTTTCCGAGCCTTTATCAAAATGACGCTGTCAAAGACTTTTCTTTAACACATATAACGTTGCATTTTGTATATATACTAAACTTAAAAAGTAAAGATTCACCTCCGTTTATTTTGAATTCAAAAATGTAAATTCAATTCACTCTATCGGAAATCACAAACAAACAAGCGAAAAACAATTAGATGAAAAAATGGCAAGGATTGAAAAAAAAAAACGGCGCGGTGTTATTTCGATCCTTACTCCGTCGACTTTTCAGAAAGGAAGAAAACCTTTGGGGTGTAGAAATAAGCCGAGATTTCAATGAAGACTGTTCAAAAAAGCTCTGTTAATTGGCATTTGAGTCCACTAACCTCTGTGTGTTGCTTCCTCTGCTCTGATTTAACTAAAAAAAATCTTAGCGTTTGACTATTATATATTCCCTAATTTCGTAACCCTTTTGTTTTTTCAAGAGGTGGGGTACATATTTCAAGTGACTTAATACCATTGAATGGATTACCCGAGCAATAGAGTTACCTGCAGTGAACAGTAGCATTTGGATTTTGTCACTATCCTGATGGCAGGTAAGTCTGGGTAGACCTTAAGTTAATATTCATAAACTTAGAGCTAAGCAATTCCTTGCTAATACCAAACCGTTCATTGGTGCTCTTTGCATGCTCTCAGTGACACGCTGGCATCGTGATGCATAGCAGGACCAACAATCCAGCTGGTCAGAAGTAATTAGGACTCTTAAAAAAGTTCCAGTCAAAAGAAGAAGGGTTGAATGGTTGAAGAACTGTCTATCAAAAAGAACGCACTACATATGCTAGATTTGATAGATCCGTTGCGGATACGTGATCACCAAAACAAATTCGTAGATTTACGAATCTGGCTAGAGGAGATATCAGGGAACAAATCAATTCCAGTACTGTATGATCATGATTCAAATGTAGAGACGAAAAACAGAAGGCTATGGAGCAGTCTCTCTGTTCTGTTTTTAAAACAGAACACAATCTTTGAAACGTGTTGCTACAGTCAAGCACAATACGGATGCCTCATCTACACCCAATAAAAAGATCTAAGTCAGAGACGCATGCCTCGAATTCACGCACTTCCCATCTGCAATATTTTGGAAAGATAATTTGGTACATTTTAGGTTTGAAACATTACCCATGTTCAGCAAATATCATGTAAGACTGAAGCAAACTCTGAAGAAGGATATCGTCTCGGCGTTTATTTTTATTAGAACCAGCTCTAGAAGAGCAACGATGAAGTGTTAAAGCTCTTTCTGTCAATCATAGAACAATGAAGTGTTTTTCTTCCAACTGTACACAACTTGTGTCTTTCTAGCATTTCTTCTGCGGGTAGTTTTTATACTTCCGATTATAACGACTCTTTGCAAAGCATCTGACCGCCACGGCATCACATCTGCACAACAAATAACGACACTTGCCCCAGTACCAATACGAGGAAGGCCGTTCTGTGGATAAAATAATTATTTATATTATTTGTAATCAAGCAAAGGAAATGAACAAATTTTTCTTTCGAAGAGACTTAAGATAAAAAAAGGTAGATGCTTAATTTGGTTGCCATCAAATTGCTGTTTCTCTAATGGTATCCAGTCACCTCGCCACCAAGCAGACTCGCCACCAAGGAACGATCTCGCCACCAACGTACTCGCCACCAAGCGAAGTCTTCTCGCCACCAACCACCAATAAAGAGATTAGTCGAGGACAGTAGGATGTTCGGCTGATAAGTCTGTACTCAAACTTTATAAACGTATGTTGTCGAAAGCACGTTCGAAACCGATAAGTTTGTTCGCTTGTCTGTACTCAAACTTTATAAACGTATGTTGTCGAAAGCACGTTCGAAACCGATAAGTTTGTTCGCTTGTCTGTACTCAAACTTTATAAACATATGTTGTCGAAAGCACGTTCGAAACCGATAAGTTTAGTTTTAATACAACTGCTATCGAGTTTCATTTCATCACTTATTTCTTCCCATGAAGTTTCATTTTCTCTCAAGTAAGTTTTTATTCCTCGCATCGAGTTTTGCAATTTCTCCTCGCTTACGTGCAAAAGACAAACACGATACGTTTCGATGTCAATGAGTTAGGAACGGAACACATCTAACACGTCGCTGAAGGTCATAATTTAAATACAGACAAGCGCACAAACGTATCGGCTGATTTGAATTGTGCTCGTTCGAACATCCTACTCTCCTCGACTACTTTATTCTAGTTTATCTCTTTATTGGTGGTTGGTGGCGAGAAGACTTCGCTTGGTGGCGAGTACGTTGGTGGCGAGATCGTTCCTTGGTGGCGAGTTCGCTGGTGGCGAGTCTGCTTGGTGGCGAGGTGACCGGTAACCTCTCTAATTCTCCACAATAGCAAAAGGCCCAGTTTGCTTGGTCCACCCTGGCGCAAGTTATCTAGCTCGCCTACGGGTCGATTCTCCCGCAAAAGACTTCGCCCACTGGTCCGTTTCGCCGACAAGTCGTCTCGCCTACCGGTCGCTTCGCCCACAAGCTATTTTGCTTACAGGTCCGTTTCGCCTTCAAGTCATCTCGCCTGCGAGTCGGTTTGACCACAAGTCATTTCGCCCACAGGTTCGTTTCGCCCTCAACTCATGTTCCCCAGACATTGCTCTTGAGCCGGCGAAGCATTTGGTGATTTACACCGATCGCCATGATCGACGCATGAAATGGCTAAGTGTGTCACCGGCTCAAAATGTGAAAGGAGTGTAAAGAAGCTAATTCACCGTCAATGATACTGCTGGTTATCGCGCAGTCTCCAGAACCTAGCACTCATGTTTAAACCTTAATATTATGTCTATAATAATATGAAACACATGAGATAAATCCATTAGATAAAGTTTAATGGAATAAATAAAAACACCAGGAATTGCCCAATGCAACAAGATTGCAACGTACTACAATCCAAAGGTCTCCCTCTCTCAGTTGAATATGACAGAGTATACACGGCTGCCTTAAATGGACACACGTCGGACTGGAGTTTGTTATAACACATGTCATGGACGTAGCAACACCTGAGGACAAACAGCCAAGGCTTAGTCGTTCAAAAGGCGGATAGTGCTATCTAACGTATAAATCATTATACTGCGGATTTGTTTTAACAAAACATACTGCACTATCCACCGAATAGGGAATTATCCCATGGATCGTGATATCCATCCTTCAAACAACCGGGGCCAGGAGTACAATGTCCTAAATGCTCGGTAGAAACGTTGAACATGAAAAGTAAGAACACGAAGAACTGAGATGAATTGGCATGGCTCACAGTTGTTTCCAGGTCTTACTGCGCAGATACGCCTAGGTATCAGGTTCTCAAACCTCATAAAAACTTCGCTGGTAATCTGTAACGAAGTAGTTATACAATGTTGGACTTCTTACGTGGAGGTTCCGGGTTCAGAGGGTTCCAATGGGGTTCGCGGAGAACCATCAAACGGCGTAACATTTAAGCTTTTAATCGTCAAAAACGATAAATTTTTAACGTCTAACCTTCAAAAAGCAGCTTCACATTAACCGTTAAACGGGTTCAAAGTCTTCTTGATCTCACTACTTGAGCCACTCGTCACAAACATTCCCAAGGGTTAAATTTAGCGTCACGAATTCGAAGATGGTAAACGAAATATTATTTGTGTAAGTGGTTACATACTCACCTGTCCAAAACATCCACTGGGTCTCCCTTCCCGCCATACCCACACCAGCAACCATAACCATTGAAATCCAAGGGATTTCTTCTAGTAACTTTATATATCATCCAACCAAAATTTAACACACTTCTCTTGGTCGCATCGTCAGTTCCGCCTGTTATCAAAATATAACACTTCATCCTTATACTTAATGCGAACATTTGTTAGATAATTAGTAATGAGATCATGTATGATGATGTAGTGATGAATTGATTTCGGGAACCCTTTGTGAATATCTGAATTCTTTAATCCGTCATGTGTAAAACATTCCATTAACTCTTTAACCCCTTAGAGTGATTAGTAACTATTTTCTCCTTTCAGTATCACCCCTAAAACAAATATTGAGGTCATGAGAATAAAAGAAATGATCACTAACTAAAGAGGCTCTTGATTGTTAAACAAATTCTCTTTGTCGGTACCATAGGAAATGAATACAGAACAGTATGGAGAAATTGTATACCGATGTTAGGATGTAAAGGGTTAAAAAGAATCCCATGTTCAGTTTCTCGTACCAACCCCACGTTATATCCTTACAGAAAGCAACAATCGGTGATAGGGATATGCTATCAAATAACTAAACGTCAGTTCTATAGATGTGACATTTAGTTGTCTCCTAGCGCAGTCCTGAATACGAAATCCATTTTGGCGGTAATTTTTTCATGTTCTTCCTAAAGACACCTTCGAATGGAGCATTAACAGCCTTTTGAGTATTAATCGATGTTAAAACTTACAAATATAGTGTATATGTAGCTGTACACATCTGATAGCTTCAGTCAACAGGTACTTATCAATTTATCACATTTATTTTATTTTATTTTACCTCTGTCATTTAATAGACTTTGCACACGACCAGGCTCTTCAAGGGCAGTCCTGACAACAATGGCACCACTGACTACTGACATCAGCAAAATCAATTTGATTCCCATAGTGTGCTGTAATGCAAGAACCTTAACAAAAAATTGGTTACTTCTAATCCACAATCCTAGAAACTGTGAAATCCTTTTAGGTTCTCGCCTTTCGATAAATGAGAATCTCGAACACTTACTGTGTTGTTCAAGAACACTTTCGAAGGCCGGGGTTCGACCCTAAATCTTCCCTTTCGGATATCAGCGCACAAATAAATAAGCCACAGCGTCAATCACTTTCTCGGTTACTAATTAATTTTAAATTTTAAATGTTCATACCAATTCTACAGCATAGTGGCTTTTATTATATAACGACAATGATCATTTCTGGTTAACGACCATGGCAAGAAAACCATGAACAACTGTGTGATTCTGTAATGATGAACAGTTCTTATTTTGATGAGAATAAGGTTTCGAACCTGATTATCAAATTAAGAGTATTTTTTATCTTTCGATGACTCAGGAAAGCTGATCCGCACCCTCGAATTCAATTCATTACAAAGTAAATTGACCTTTCCTGAAACCTTTCGAAATCGCTCTATCCATATAGGTAATTTAGTTTTCCTTAAGGTGACTCTGCATCATGGAAAATAAATCATGAATGTTTTTTTTCTTCCCTAGAAACTTATTACGCAAAAGAGTTTAAAAAAAGCAAGATCTTTGCCTTCACAAATTGTTCTTTTGTTGGCCGAGTATCTAACTTATATATATGGAAACAACACCAGAACAACCAGCAGCTTTCGAGGAGAGAAGAAAATCGAGAATCATGCAATAAACATTGAATTCTAGACGATCACACTGACCTCAAAGCAAATGTGGAAATTTCCCACGCAAATTTCTCTTGGCTGTGATTCAGTAGCAAAAAGAGCATACGATAAGCCTCCTCTTCGAACTGTTCGTTAAATTAAATGAAGGCCATGAAATTTTATAGCCGGTTAATGGAATTACCTAATCAACTGATGGGCAACCCAAAAATCCATTAACGAGTAAGGTTTTACAGGTAAGTATTTATTTCATTGTGGGGTGAAATTTCATTTTTTCGTGTCGAGTAACCTGCTTTATACGAATCCGGATGATGAAAGTGCAATTTCGTCTCCTTATAATTCCCAATTAAATGGCGCTCACTTGTAAAATCATAAATTAACTTCAGTGTCAATCAATTAATTTGGCACTTCTGGGCTAATTGTAGCATGTAAACGTAAACATGTGCAAACGAATAGAGTTTTACTAACAGAATATGACCATAAATTATTAAAAATTCAAACCGGCGTGAGTGTAGCGCGGAGGGTGGGATGGCTGGGAGCAAAACAACGGACTATCTATTGAAAGCAACGAATACTGAGTTCTAATGTAGCGTTCTACACAATTCAATTATGTTCATGGGTTCAAATCCCGCACAAGCCTGAACTGCTCAAGTAGTGTTCCGTTACTGCGAAGATCGCTTTCATATTCACGTCTTTATGCGCATAAATTTATCTCTTTACTTTATTGTACTACTCGGCCGATTTTACCTTAAAGAGAGAAAGAGCTCACAGACAGAGAGAAGTCTATGGATGCTCAGTTGATAGAGTCAGCAATCATGTAGGCGCAAAGCAATGCTAAGCTGCCAGGTTGATCAAACGTTTATGCGGATGCTATTCCTAATAAATAACATGCAAGCGTCGTAACTATTAAAGTAGGATCGTTTATTAGCATTCGGTTTTTAATTGACACGTTATCACGATTGTAAGATAAGCAGAAATCAAGTAATCCTCACTCCTTTCTTGCGTGTTTGAAATTTTTCCTTGTTAGTTTTAGTCCCGTTCTACTTTCTCTTATGTCCATGCTTTACTAATAGCGCAACTAACAACCTTAAAGAAATGCGATGGCGTTATACAGATGTAATCCCACAAATAACCATTTGGCTTTTACACATATTTGTTTAATTGACATAAAATTCTTCGACCACGAGACAGAGCATGTTTTGAAAGTTATGCATTATTTACACTTTTATCGATAAAATAGAAACCCGTTTGAACAAATAAGACCTCCTTCCCCTTCACTAGATCCATGTTGAACGCAAATTGGCATGCTTTTGAAAGTAAGGCTCTTCTGAAATAAGAGACTTAAGTCAAGGAATCGAAAAACCTTGTAACATCAGAAATAAAAATAAAAGAAAAATGACCATTTTTCATGATAAATCATGTGACATTAACGACAAACATTAGTTCTATTTTGCAATACTGGAATTTACTTGTTTTACTACCTTATTTTTTTTTCGTTTTCGTTATTTCGAGTCTTTGTTTGAAACCAAATTCTAAGGCTTGGCTTCAATAAACTTACGATTACCTCTACAATAACTGAGACATTTGATTACAAAATGCGTTTGAATCCCAATTGGATTTTTGTTAGAGTTCATGGAAACGCTTGGGCACAGTTTCTGAGTTGTAGTAATGCTATGTAAACAAGTTCCCAAAAGGGATCAAGTTGTTCTTTAAAAAAAAATCTTTCGCAGGTACATCTGTGAAATTGACTTCTTCAGTGTTGATACAACTCTCCCTTCTGATGTATTCTGTCACATTCAAGTGAATTATCCTCGATAGGCATTCATGTTCCTCCAGTTTCCATACGATGTTCTGTACGCCTGATAAGGGTTCGGGTATTGAGACCTCGCTCGGGCGTATTGCTTGTATTGTGCGTAGTAATCATTTGACCGAGACGCAGGGTAATAATTTCGATAACCGTAGGTGGCAGGTGTCATACGTGTTTGCGAGTAGGAGAGTGGCCTTATGCTATTCAATGCGGCGTTCCGGCCGATACAACACTTGACTGAACACACTGGAGCGCATGTACTCGGGCACGATCCAGGGCAGGTGGGAGCAGGGGGAGGTGCTGGAGCAGGCATGGGATAGTATATTGGAGATGGGGCTGGGGGAGGAGGTGGACTGCAACAAGTCTGAGAACATGCAGGGAAGCACTTAGCTGGGCATGCTCCGGGACATGTTGGAGGCAGCTGGGGAGGAGGAGGCGGAGGAGGAGGAGGGGGCGGTGGAGGAGTGCAGCAGCTGATGTCACATCTGGGAAAGCACTTGTATGGTTTGTGGCATGGTAGAGAACACACCTGGTCATGAAGAAGAATGCAGTGTAAGAGAATTCAATTTATGCCATAAACGGATGGAATCGCATATAGCAGTGTTTAGTTTCTAGGTTGTGTGAGGCTCGGGAGCAAATGTTCTGCTTAGGGTTACCATATATTGAATAACCAATTAAACGAGCAAAGAATTTGCCAGCTAGCTGTGGCGGTTGCACCTAGATCACAACCATTGGGAGACAAGAGAAATCACAACGGCATGACAGCAACACAGCATGACAGTCTCCATTAACAATGCCAATGCCAATCTGATTCTCACAGTTGTAATAAATTGAACACGAAACTAAGTGAATGGGATATATCTAATTGGAACTAGCAGAACTTGAAGGATGAATGACTCATCAACTTACCGGCACAATCTTCGGATGCTGTATACATCGGTAGACAACTCTGGCATACTTATAAACCTCAGGGCACATGATAGAATTTTTCTTTCCCAGAAAAGTACTAGTGGCTGCCACGGAACATTTGCTTTCTCCTTGACACAAATCAAATAACTTCTCATTGATTCTATGTTCGTCCTTCACACAGTGTCCCTTAGAAGGGAGTACTTTGTGTTGACATGTGTTGTTATCATCTCTGCCGTAAAATGTACTGTATAGGGCGATGCGATCATACCTAGAGAACACGAGCAAGGGGTTAATTGCATGATTTAATTCTCACACCAATGACTTTGAAAAAGTAATTTTACCAAAGCTGTATCTCACCACAAGTTTTAGCTTCTCTACGAAGCTCTTTTTACAAACTGTCATGAAAATGTGTATGGCATAGCTTTATTGGAAAGCTTAGAAAATTGACCGAAAAAACACAAATTATCATGCTTTAAATTTCATGTATTTCCCAAGGAACACTATCGGAAGTGTCACGTAACAAATGTTTTTTTTCCCTTTGGCTTGTTTGCTTGTTTGTATGTTTGTCTGCAAGGAGCAAGAGAAACATGAAATCGCCGCGCCTTGATAAAGCATAGATATAACAATACATAACCAGTAGTTATATACAAGAAGAAAACAAGTAAAGGTATCGATGAATAAGGAAGGGAAGGATTAGAATTTGCTGACCCTAGGGTTGTGATAATTACTGATCTTAATTCATTCATTGCACAATGACATCACATACTTGTTTGGGCATTTGATCTTCAGTTTATGTCCCTCGCAAGCTACCGCTACCTTTTGTTTCCTCTTCATGTACAAAGGCATCGGAGGAGGCTTGGGTTGGCAACATGATGAGGAACACTGGGGGTAGCACTCCTTTGGGCAGTCCGATGGACAGGGAGGAGGAGGTGGGGGAGGCTGAGGAGGTGGAGAGGGGGTTGGAGAGGGTTCGGGAACAGCTGTAGGAGAGGGGGAGGCAGCCGGCGCAAATGCTGCTGGAGAAGGAGGAGCAGCGGGATATTGAAAATATGCGGCAGGTGAGGGCGCCGACTGTGCAGGCTGTTGGTAGTAATACCGCAGCTGTTGCTGCCGCTGTTGTTGCTGCTGTTGTAGCAGCCGCTCCTGTTGATATATGGACGATCGTTGAGCTGTGTAGCAACACATCGCGTTACACCCAGGGTAACACCGAGGAGAGCAATTTCCCGGACAGCTTCCTAAGAAGAAGAAATGTATTATGTATCAGTGATAAAAGAAATTCTAGTAATTGTTTTGAACACTTGTTTTAAATAGCGGGGCAATTGACGGTGTAACTTCTTCGGACCAGAGACATCAGCTCAAAAATCAACACTAACGCTATTCTATTGATTACCACCTGGAAGCCTGCAGGATAAAAACAATTATCTAAATTTCGTCAATCAAATCTGTAATTATTTTAAATGGTCATTAAGTCAGTCAGTCAGTCAGTCAGCCAAACAGTCAGTCAATCAGTCAGTCAATCAGTCAGTCAGTCAGTCAGTCAGTCAATAAGTCAGTCCCTCAGTCAGTCCGTCCGTCCGTCAGTCAATCAGTTTGTTAGTCAATCAGGCAGTCGGTCTCTCTTTCTGTCTGTCAATCAGTCAGTCAGCCAATCACTCAGTCAGTCAGTCAATCAGTCAATTAGTCAGTCATTCAATCGGTTAGTCAGTCAGTCAGTTAATCAGTCAGTCAGTCAATCAGTCAGTCAGTCAGTCAGTCAGTCCGTCAATCAGTCTGTCCGTCAGTCAGTCGGTCAGTCAGTCAATCAATCAGTCAATCAGTCAGTTCGTCATTCAATCAGTCAGTCAGGCAGTCAGTTGGTCAATCAGTCCGTCAGTCGTTCGTTCAGACAGTCGCTTAGTTAATAATTCTGTCAGTTACTTTGTCAGTTAGTGCGTCACTCACTCACTCACTCACTCATACACTCACTCGATCCATTTGCTTTTTTACTGACTTCTTAATATGAACTTACCAAAGAAGGATCCTTGCGCCGTAGAAATGAATGAAACAACCGCTATGAAACTTGCCAGCCACATGTTGATTTACGACCGCAACTTTCTGGAAAAATCATTGCAACATTAAGATATATCCATAAGATATAACCGTAATAAAACCAGTTAAGATGATTTTAAACAAGAAAACTCCCAACAAATTTGAACATTTTCTCCTTCCCAGGTTTCGCCCGCTTTTTCCCAGTATTCACCTGTCGTAAACTGGCTCTGTGTCTTTTGTTAATTTCAATGGTCTCGAAAATGTTAAGAGATGAATAAGCGTGTATAGCGCATCAGTGCGTAGAGCCACATAAAATATCGAAAATAAATGGTAGAGTATTTACTGATCATTAAAAGTACCGTTCCACACTGGACCACAGTCTGCGATACTGATAAGCTGAAATTAATAAATTTAATCGGATTTAGCAGAGTTTTTCGCAATGTTTTTCACCTCATCCCATGATTTCGGGACGAACAGCGATTTAGGGTTTTGGTACGGGAGCTCACGGCAAACCTGGTCCGCATATGACACCAGGTTTGGAAATCGAACTCGATCCACAACGTTGACTTGGAGAGGCTAATGATCTCACCTCTGCGGATTTGTGCCGTATCTTAAGCCCAAGTAAAAAGGCACTCTTACGAAAAGACTATAATCTGGTACAGAATATTGCAGTCTCAAGGGGAAAAGTGTCCACGATTTTCTCTCTGTTTGTAGAAACTGCAAAACCTTAAAAGAAAGTCAGTTGTTTACATTTTAAGTGTCGTGAAAAGGTAGCCGCCAATGACCCATTTATTTGTTGTGGTTTCACTCGTGAACCTTCAAGACTCAAACTTTCCTTTGCAGTTTGATTCTTGAAACAATAGGATACCTTTCCCCACTAATCGCTTGAATTATCAGCCTTTTGAAGCGATGTTTAGGTTTAATTGCCGTAATGTTGTTCGCCTTAAAAGATCACCTGGTACCTGTTTAAATTTCGCACCGTAACGCTTGGAAAAGGCTTCTAAACAGTCCAAAAGATCTCTCTGTAATTAACCCAAAGATACAGCGACTTTTCTTAATTAATTTATTTTTCAGTTGAGATTATATCTTCAATTTCTTTCCCTTTTGCGTCGGTGTATGCCACCTTTCGAATTAGTTTGACAATGGTCAGTGATCTAATAAAGTAGCAAAATGAATCATGTCGTGATTTACACAAACAATTTACGGATTAAGACGTTAAAATAAATCAAACATGAAAATTGGATCCCTTTCAAGACGATGTTCCTACAAAATACACTCTAAAACTCTGCAAGTAAAACTACAGGATATCACTCACCACTATATTATTTCGCTTGCGGACTTTTCAGGTGCAGGAATGGGTCTAAAATAGAACGAGAAGGACAAAACTCACTGAACGCCAAGAATGACAAAATATGTAGTTACCAAATTTATACTTAGATGATTTTCCTGTCAAAACGATTTGCAAGAAGAAATATCTCGGGTTTATTTGAAAACCCGGTACTTCAGATAAAGTATATTCAAATACTTTAGTAAATTACCATTCATTAGCCTTGTCCTCCATTTTTTTGACCGACATGGTGGCGGGGTCGACAAGTTCGTAATGGTAGTGGAATTCCGAAAATAGTATTATGATGTCATTGTACTACCCGTCGCTATGACAATATCGTGCTGGTTAGTTGGATAAGGAGAATAAGCTCAATGATTTTTCAACAGGGCCAATTATAAGGTCGTAGATTTCCTTTTTAAGCTGACTTGACAAAAAAATTAAGTCAGACCTGAGTACATTTTCACATTTCGCCAGAGGATTTTTCGAGTATTAGTTTTGTTCTTGTTGCATCAGTTAGGGCTCAGATGGAGGCGACAAAATTTCTGATCTGGATGAGGAGATTTTTATTTGCCCAGTTTTTGCGGTTTGTGTACTTCCTGAATTTGAATCGAAATTCAAATTAGGGTGACGGGAATAGAAAGAAACAGTAATGATTAATATAAATCAAATAAAATATGTGTTCTTCTCCTATGGGACCCCTCTCAGCGTAGCAAAACGAACCTTTATAGATTTCCCATAACTGGAAATTTTGTCTTCAGTTGCACACCCCCTACCTTGAAGAGACAGAAGAGGGAACGTTGTACCTGCAGTACAGGAGAATTAAAGCTTCGTGTAGATCGAAGGAATTTTTTTACACACTGACTGACAACCCTACAATGATACTCAGTGGACACCAGATAACCACCAAAATCGATACGTATAATTAAAAAAACGACCAAAAGAAACATGGAAGACAAGAGTAGAGATGGGAGGTGAACCAAAAGAATATTGCTGTTGCATGACGCGGGAGCATGGCGATGAGAGGTCAACCAACGAACTGGGCGTGGCAGCGGAAGTTGGAGAAACAAAAGTGATTTTTGGAACAAATTTTGAATTAGTCTGCAGAAGTTAAAATAAATTAGACTTTCAAGGAGGGGAGGCGTATTAAGGACAGTCAGTATACCAAGGAACAACAAATAAAGATAAATGGAAATCTGAAAATGCCAAAGGTAAAGCCGATTAAAATTTGAATAAAGGGGTAAGTTTCTAAAGAAACTGTGGTGCTGCGTCGGTGGGAGAGTATAGCAGGTACTTTAGTGTTAACAACTGGGTTGAAAACGTAAATTAGCCACCGTAAAGGGTAAAAAAGCTGACGTTTCGAGCGTTAGCCCTTAGTCAATCGCTCTGACGAAGGGCTAACGCTCGAAACGTCAGCTTTTTTACCCTTTACGGTGGCTAATTTACGTTTTCAACCCAGTTGTTAACACTAAATTACCTGCGATTAAAATTTGCTCTTATTGTGGACATAAAAGAAAAACAACAGCATCGCTAGAGTGATATCACAAGTATAATAATAATACACAAAAATTTATTTATGCATGGAAATTGTGTGACTACCAGTTACATCTCATCTTGGACAGTATTTTTCTATTTTAAGTGCGGGCCGTGAAGTGATCAAACAGTGCTAGCTATCGAAGGTAGTGAATGAATTCGAACTATTGGCGAATAATTAACTGACAGTATAAGCTAGCAACAATTGGCTGTGGAAAGCTGTTTGTTTCCTTTTCAATTCCTTAACGTGATCGTTGATCCATAGCACATATGTTTGAACGTAAACAGTGGCAAAGAACATAGCAAGAATATTGTCCTCGGAGATATTTAGTCTCTTTGCAAAGTGATTTTTCACCAGCCCCAGCTACGCCAACAGTCTTACGTATTAGTAGCAATCAGTTTGGAGGGAGGCTCCCTTTCATCTTATCTCAGCATCATAAATAACATCGCGTTGTTCTTCAAGCTCATTCCATTCTCCTGAAGCACTTTGCTCATCACTGGGCCCTCCTCCAGATTCCTCTGGTCGCATAGGAGTCTCTGATTTTTTGTACGTCTCATTGACTTCCGCGGTTTGTGACGACGCGGTGTTGGCCGGGAACGTCTCAGTGATGACGTCAGTTGCGGCCTGGGGTTGAGTAAATTCTTCAGTGATGTCACTTCCGACTTCTGGGGTATTATGTGTATCAATTGGAGTAACCGACGCTTGTGACGTGGCAGTAGTGACTGGTTGACTGTCTTCGTGCTCTTGAACAGTAATTTCTGGTACTGAAGATGAAGAAGACGACGACGACGACGAAGAAGAAGACGTTACCGTGGAAACAGAGGTAGACGAAGTTACGCCTCCCATACCACCACTTATCACCTCGTTGACTGATTGGCTGTTTTCTGAGGCGCTGTCTACATTTGGATAATATGTTCGTGGTGTGCACCTATAAAAGAAAACATTTTACATTTGTCATGATATGGTACGCTGTAGGCCTCCGTGTATCCATTGTTTGGTTGGCGAGATTATTCCAAAACCTTCCGCTAGAAGTGTGCGCCGCATTTCTATTCTTTCAGACGAATCACGAAGAATCTATTTTAAGTCTATAGACACCCTCCTTCCATGAAAAAGCTGAAGATCTCACTTCTAACCATAATTCTTTGAAGACACATAACTGTTTTAGGTTTCTTAATATAGATGTCAGAAGAAAAAGTACAGCTAAACTTAAAAACTGTAGGATCAGATCCTACTGTGCATTTAGGAAAAAAGAAAACAGGCAGGAAAAAAAAGATAACCTGTATTTTATTTCCAAGTATTTGTACACATCAGGGCAGATTGTAGTTCCAGCCTTGGCCAGGAAATCGTTATTAGCTGCTACTTCACAAGCATGTTCCCCTTCGCAGAGACCGACAATCTGAGCCTTAACCTGCGTTTCTTGTTCCTGGCATGGCACACTGGAAGGGATACTTGGATGCACACAGATTTTTGAGTTCTTGCGACCGTACATTGTCCCCACAATTGCTAATTCATCGAAAGGGCTTGGGCATTGAACGTATGCTTTTTGTCCTTCGCATACAATTGTGTTTTCCTTGTATAGGAAGAGAGACGAAATTACCGTAAACGAACCCTTTACACCCTAAGATAAGCATCTAAATTCTCCTTGCTGTATTACCCCTGAATCGCACATTAAGGTCACGAGAATAATGAAAACGATACAAACTAAGGACGTTCTTGATCGTTAAACAAATTCTCCTTGTCAGTACCTTAGGAAATGCATAGAGAACAACATGGAGAATATGCATACTGATGTTAGGATGTAAAGGGTTAAAATGTCAAAGTTATCAAAAATACTGGGATCAATATCAGCCCACTTGCCCACTTACCCCTCCCTTAACTCAACAAGAGTCAATTGATAACAAGTAAGGGTTAATGTTGGGTTCGGGGAGGGGTAGGTGGGCAGTTGCTCAGATACTGATATTGATCCAAATACTGTATGTGCAAGCGATCTTTGAGGTGTTTAGTTTGCCTTTCTTACACGCTACACCATGTCAACATTTAATTAAACACTTGTGTAAGCTTGGCAGCGATGCGCCTATCCTTCGTCAACGGTCGGTTGAAAACCTTGGGGTAAAAAGAAACTCATGCTGGAGGAAGTTGCACCAAATGATTCTTTAGTGTAGCAAGGCCTCTTTTAAAAACAGCGAATACATGTAGTCTGGAAGAAATCATCGATGGCGAGTCTGGAAGAATTCATCGAAAAGCAATGCAAAAATGATCTCTCTGGAAATTAGTGAAAAATTGTTACCTAAAATTTCTTTTTTGCAAACGGAAGACTTTTTAGAGAAGATTAAACATCTCCTTACCACTTTCATAGCGCTTGGTGGCTCTGCGCTCTTCAGCGAGTCAGGATTTGGAGCTCCATGGACAACTGGGAGAGGATAAAAAAAACAACAATAACAGTAACCATGAAAAGTTGTATTCGAGATCACCTAAAGATGTAGCAAGAGACTGAAGTTCCCCTTGCCCTTCCTATAGCATAATAAATGAAGTCTTTTAAAAACAGCGAATACATGTAGTCTGGAAGAAATCATCGATGGCGAGTCTGGAAGAATTCATCGAAAAGCAATGCAAAAATGATCTCTCTGGAAATTAGTGAAATTTTTAGTGAAATTCTTCTTACAATATCCATACAATATCAAGCAGGTAGGTGATGAGAATGGAGAAGAATATCAATTATGGGATCATTAGTTGATCCACTACCAAATTCTCTAAACTAACATCATAAGAACTGTATGGCAGATAATAAGGAGAATTACTAATTAGATCTTGTGAGTGAAAGGGTTAAGAGGGCATCTCTGTTTCTGCAGAGTTTAAACAGACTGTAGATATGCCAACCCCATCACACCCCACAGCCCATTACATAGGATGCTAGCCTTTCGCGGCCAAGTTCATACTGAGCATTTCGCTAGGTTTTTTCAAAAAATATTTGATTCAATCGGGCGATTTAAGTTTTAACCGGAAGGTCACCGAGAATGACTTCTCCTCATGCAGATCATTCGATCCAATCCAGAATCAAGATGGAAAACCTTTAAGCCAGCGAATCTCCCATATTAAATTAATTTCTATAGGTGATTCAGTGTCACTGACTTATTATCCGGTACACTTGTTTGCCTTTTCAAGCTCGACGGGACCATTCCTGTTGCCCACCTGCAGTTGACAACTCTTTCAACCAAGTAGAAGTTTGTCAACCGTAAAGAGACAAGACGATATTCAAACATGGACTAACGAATTACCAAAAAGGATCAAAAAATGTTTATTGCTCGGTAATAAATATTTGTTTGCAACTCTTTCGAAAATAGGGGGCTATTAAATCGCTTTGTTTACAGAGTGGTAATGTTACTTGCCAACAATATTTACGGTTACTCATTTCCTACCTTGCAAACAGCAAATCCACACTGTTAACCACCAACTGCTTTTCATGGGGCTCATTAATGACGGTTTTTTCCAGCAAAAAAACAGCCGCATGCAGCTCTCACAAGAGGCAGCAATTTTTCTTCTGTTATTTAGTTCGGACAGCACAACTTGCGACACAGATTACATCAGTTAACTCGCAAATTGAGGAAACGAGTCCACAACTGGTATTATACATTATTAAACGCCATCAATATAAGAGTAGTTCTCGGACAGTGTTAAAGGCGGAACCGCGTGTTTAGAACATATTGTCTTACGAGCACTGGCAAACACCAAGAAAATCATTTTGAAATTCTTTCATGCCAACAGTAGATTCATAAAAATATACGAGACCCGCCCCAGAAGCCAATTAAATTCATATCGTTATGGCTATTAAGTAATAAGACAGGTTTAATTCAGGCCAAATCTAATTCTTTCTCTATCCCCTAAAAACAGCGAACGTTTCGCAGGTTGTAAAATATTGTATTAGTGGATAATCAGCTTAAGATGGTCGAATAGAAATAGGGTTATGATGAAATTAACATATTTTGAAACGTGCTTCAATTCCAGATTAAAATTACAATTTAGACCTTAGACCTTTTGTTTTCAAATGAAAGAAGCCGACCGGACATTTCTACTGTGGGTCTCTTACGGAATTCATAAGTCATAGCTACCGCAGGCTCTTGCTGCTTATCATTTGTCTCCTTTTGTGCTCGTTTCTGTTATTCAGTGAGGCATTTGCTTCTTCTCAAGTGAGACATTTGCCTCTTTTCAAGTGTCCACCGACTATGGCCAATTATCAGCCACAATTGTCGGCTAATAATTCTAGTAACTACATTTAAGTGCACCAAATTGAGTTTCAAGTCATTTTTTAAAATATTTTAATGAGACGTTAATAAAGTTTATTTTCATTATTACTATCATTATTATTATTATTATAATTATTACCATCCATTCACACAAGAAAAACCCCGGCGAGGCAACTTACCTGAAAATCGTGATTTCTTTTCTGCGAATTGGTATAGGTTTTGAGGAACCTTATTTAACATTTTTAAAGAACTCTGCCCAATGTTTTGATTATATTGCAATTAATGTATTCTTCATTTGAAGCAGTATTGCTCTCTTAGTTAACTGGACCTATAAATATGGGACACTTGTTAAGCACGAAATAGACGGCTTTGTGTTGCATGGACGCTGCGAAATATGAACCTAATGCGCAGCACGTTGACTCGTGGTGGTTTAGTGGTTGACGCACTGGATTCCAGGTCGAAAGGTGTTTACACCCTAACATCAGCATGTTTATTCCCTATACTGTTCTTTATAAATTTCTTTCGCACTGACAAGGAGAATTTAGTTAAAATTAAGCGCTTTTCAAGTTTACGATCATTTCACCTTAATTCTCTTAAGCCTAATGTTTGATTGAGTTCACGTTAATGAGAAGTTATAGATGCTAGTCACCCCCAGGGTTTGAAGCGTTAAACTAAGGTCACTATGTTATATTACTGGGAACAGAAATTTTTTTATACCGTTCAGTCCACCCAGGAGTGTAAATACGTTCAGTGAGCTGTCAAAGAAAGCTTTAAAATGCTAAGGGTGGGTACTTGTAATTAGCTATAGCCTCCCATCTAGAATAGTCACTCTTAGTACGGTGACTTCATACTTCAGTTGAAACTTTTATAAGCTGCAATAGTTATATCAGTTAGTCTTGTATGTATCTTTTACCAGTGCAGTACTGGAGATGCCAAGTCGTTTGTGACCTACTTTCAAGGTCAATATACTTTAAGTATTAGTATAACATGCTTCGATTGTCTGACCTTTCCGCCAGTGTTCAACGAGATCTTTAATTACCGTTAGTCATTTTACAATAGACTACCCGGGGTGGCAATCAAATCTGGCAGGTACTGTCACGGAGGTTGTGTTGAAGTCGTCAATTTTTAATTCTGTCGTTTCTTCCTTCTTTTACCAATGGGGTGTTTTCACTTAGATCAAAAATGAAGATACTATTTTCTGTGAGTGTTTTATTGTGCGCAGCAGCGAAAGGTAAGTTTTAAAAAAGTGAGTTTATCTTTGAATAAGGGCTCATTTTGGTGAGTTTTGTATGAGACCATAAATATTGTGGTGTAAAATATCTTGTGACCTGTTCGTCAATGTACTAAAACAAACCTTGTTTGTGTGTTCATTCATAACAATAATACATGTATTTAGAAACGTTAAAGGTTGCATGAAGAGACAAGTAAACCTACACCTCGTCCGTCTTTTCGCCGCGAAAAGATACAAATTAAAGGAGAATCTGTTTCTGACGAACGTTATCGACTTTCTTCCTTAACATTTTTGCAAATAATCCCAATTGAACAGGGAAACGTCAGTGGATATGCCGGCGTTTAAAAAGAAAAAAAAAACAGGGAAAACAATGTACTAAACTAAGTTACGTTTTACGAAGTATCATTACTCAGCTATCCTGTTCATTATTATGGTACGACGACATGATTGGCGGAGAGTAAAGCTTACTTTTTCATTCATATCCATCCCAGAATAATAACAGGTTAGGGCCAACTTTTTATACAGCTCAGTTGGGATTGCTTCTATGATGTAAAGGTAGACATTTAGCAGGAATAACGACAGGCAACAGCAGTAATAAGTGACTGTCAACTCTGACCCTTACCAGTCCGAAATAACGCACACCCATGTGGAAATTTGCACCAGCAAAGCAGGAAACTTCATCGTGTTTCTTTTACTTCGTTTCAGTCCTTTCTTTTCAGAGTTCCTATATACGGGACTGTCTGGATGCCCACAACGCAGTTCGGGCTCGGCACGGAGTGCCAGCCCTAAATTGGTCAGTAGATATCGCCGTTAGTGCACAAAAATGGGCCAATCATCTTGCAGCAATAGATCAACTTCAGCACGACTCCTCAACACCCTTTGGGGAGAACCTGTTTTACATGTACGGAGGTGATCCAGAGCAAGCTTGCGGTCGTGCAGTGAATAACTGGTACCAAGAGGGTAAAAATTATGACTTCAGGTCTCCACATCTGGATGAGAGTACCAGTAAGTGACTGAAGACTAAACAAGTCTATTTTCTTATAAGATAAATGTCATTCAATACTAAAGATAAAACGCATAAACCAGGTCATACACTGACCTTCCGGAGCATAGAAAAGTACTTGTCCTCAAAAAGCCATAGCTGTCGCACTATGAAATGTTTCAATTTTTTTCTTCATAATTTGAAATGCCCAAAACGGTTTTCTGAAAACTTGGCAGGACTTCACGTCTGCTCCATTAGGCTCGACAATTTATGTGCTTTGGGTTTTCTCCAATCAGACAACTTACCATTAGTCAGAACTCGAAAGAAGTTGCTCTGATCGAACCGGTCATTCAGGATTTGACCTGTGGTATACCCACTCACAGGGCTATATAGACTAGGGTTTTCACTTCCCCTTGGTGCAGACATGCATATTGCTTAGTGAGCCCAATGCCATTCAGCTTTATGATCCTTTTCAGGTCACTTCAGCCAGTTAGTTTGGCGGGGATCTAAAGATGTTGGAATAGGCACGGCACAGAGTAAATCCGGGAACTTCTTTCTGGTGGCTCGTTACAGTCCCCGTGGAAATGTAGACGGTAAGTTTGACGACAACGTTCTGGATGTAATGGGACAGCCTCCAACCGAAAGTAGTCAGGAGACGAAAGATGATAAAGCGTCTGACAACATTCCAGGTAAGAAAATCACCATTAAAATAAATAAAGGGGGTAAGTTACTTAAGAAACCGTGGTGCTGTGTCATCAACTGAGTTCGAAACGTCAGCTTTGAAACTCTTTATGGTGACAAATTTACATCATCAACTCAGTTGATAATACCAAATTACCTTAAAATTGACCTATCTCATCAAAATGAATAAAATGAGCAACATACCGTTATGTTTTGATTTGATCACCATAGACGAAAATATAATAGTGGGCAATGAGTTTGTTAGACGTTTCAGCCAGAGTCTTGCTTTTTGTCCTTGTAAAAAATGAATGAGAGAGGAAAAGACGCTGAAAATTACGTTTCTCCCTGATCATGGTTGGTGCATGTCACTCCGATTGTCACTGGCCTTCAGGCATAATAGACGGCCATCGCTACTAAAGTTGCAATACCATATGCACCCGGTTGAGACTTTTGTACCATTTACATACTGTAATAAAATATCTGTTGTCTTCACCGGTATTAAGAAAATTTTAACCTGTAGTAAGAATGAAATATCACATTTAATTAAGTGGTATTTGAATGATATAATAACAGTTGTCAGAGCCTTAAAGAGCCATATTCTCATTGTTGCTTGAACAAGTCGCGCTAGAAGGGATTTTTTTATTTCTCTTCAGCTCAAGGTGAATCTTCAAATCTTCAATCCAGGAAGGACCAAAACCTAGTTTATTTTAAAGAGATAAACCTTGATCCAAGTCTGGCAGATCTGGATAACACGACTGCACCGAATCCCACTCCATTGCAACAGACTGGTGTAGAATCAGGAACAAACGAGGGACCATCTTTGGAAGGCAGTCGAGGACCTGAGGAGAATCCACCCAATTCTACACCGGAGAATAACAATTCAGTCAGAATACATTCCTTTAATGGTGCTAATTCTGGGACGAATGAAGCACCAGATGTCTCCCAACAGGCTTTAAACGAGCCAGAGACCATACCAAATAACGCAGAGGCCGGTTTGACAGGCCCAAATGAAGAGTCAAGTCATAAAGAAGACAGCGATTTAAACAGAAAGCTGAGCTCTTCTGAACCATACAGCATGAACAATGAAGCTTTGCCTCTATATGAGGGGTCTGACATCAGTGCCATGAACTCGGGAGCCCGTCATTCGGGATCCGAGATAAAAGACACGAAAGCGAGACCTACTAATGCTGCTTTAAATCCAACAGAGATGGTAACCAAACTAGGAATCGAGGAGAATAGCAAGGCTGAAGAGACTTCAAACTATGAACGGCAGGAAGAAAAAGATGCGAGAGTAGAGAACTTTGCTAATTTACCTATGAACGACGAGCAGCTGCCAAAGAGTGACAAACCACCTGGCCTCTCATATGTAGCTCCGCTGGCTGCTAAAATACCCAAGAAGCCCGCAGAGAAAGTAATCAAGTTGCCCCCCGCCATATCTCTAATCACGCCAAAGAGAGGTATGACATTATCGCAATGAAAGTATTTGGTTGTGAGATGAAAGGTTTACCAATTTACCACTAAGGATTAACCTTAGAAAATAAAATTACACCGCATTCCATTCACAGAGAATGACAAAAATATCGTCGCTTTGTTTGACATAATTCATAGGTAAAGATTTCCGAGTGGAAATTCGCTTCACCAAGATGGTTTATACTGATGAGATGCGAGTGCCGGGCAGTAAGGACTTCGAAGAAGCAAAAAGAAACATAACTAGTGCCGTAAGCATTTAAATTAACTTGTTGCTTTTGTACTCTAAGATAATCCATTTGTGTTTAGTTCCCAGTATTGCCAAGGTCTATAGTCTCGTAAGCTAAATATTTAAAATTTTGATCGTAAAACGATCTGATGTTTGTACCTATAGATGAACAGTTTTGTTTCAAGCCATTAAGTTTAAAAAACAGAATGGTATGGATTATTTCCCTCTTATTTTGGAGAGTTATATTGGGCTTTTCGGGTGTTTGAATTTGTTTTATCAAGCAAAAAGCAGAGAAAGGTAGTGCGGGAAGGAAATATACCCTAGGAGGAGTGGCATACACCTTGAGTTAAATCCTCTCCGTTTACATTATTCTGATAACTTCTTTTTAGATTATTAATCTATTCGACGATGATGACGGATTCCAAGAAGTGCAGCTGATATCGATACGGTGCGACAAACGATGTGCTTCCCGAAAATAATATATAGATCATCTTGCAAGCTAAAACTATGCACTCTTTCAGACGGTATTCATTTTTCATGTTAAGGTCATTTTTCAAAGGATGCCTTCAAGTTATATCCTTCCACGTAAACGGCAAAGTTTACTACCGGTTCCAAACGTTTGCAGAATAATCTTTTCGGGAGAAAATGTTGGAAACACGGGAGAACAATTTTTTGACTTCTTCAATGACTGAGACCTATAGGTGTTTTCTTTGACTGGTTTCCAATGCAGTTAATTCATTGTTTCTTTGCACGAAGCAAAAGTATCTTTTAAAAATGAACATCACTTTAAGAGTAACATTCTAATTAAAGTCATGATGCTGAATGAGTTGTCTTCACCGTAAAATAAACTAAAACTACTTTTCCATTGTAGGAATGGCAGTGTGATAGCGACACTTGGGCTCCTTTTTAAGAAGGACAAACCAGGAAATCTTAATCGTCTCTCCCTAGCGCTGATTTCCGGGAAGATCGGAAGCTATCTCGTGGCAAACAAATATGAGTCAGCAGGTAAGGGAAAAAGGACCTGTTCCTTGCTTTACTGAAAATAAAATTTAGCTCTCTATCATCCAAGGTAATGGAAATTATCTCTAGGTAAATTAAATAGCTTCTCCAGCGAAACTCATGAATTTTTTCCTGATTTTGCTTTGGCACAAGCAATAGATGAGTTGAATTGGTTTCTATGCAAGCTTAAATACTTACCTGTCTCAGTTTTACTTTGCTGGCTCCATTTACTTAACTTAGTGGTAACTACAAAACTGTTGGCTAAAAACAACTCCACGATATATAATGACTTTATAAGCAGTTTCTGGAGTTGAGTTTGAAAATATGCCTTTGCTTGTTTGTTTGTTTGTTTTTTCAGTCGCTCTACCAGCAGGATATCTAAGACCTAAAAGACCAATACAGAAACAAAGTGTAGGAGTATGCGCACAACCATGCTCCAAACCAAACATCTGCTACTCCACAGGTTGCGGTGTAGCCTGCTGCGCCTTTCACCCCCACGAACACAAGTATCACCCCCCTGCACGCCTCGCGCCACAAGAGCTCCCATCGTGCCCTGGTACATGCGACGACAGCTGTTTCCCAGATTGTGATGATGACTGTTGCACTGACATGATGCAGGATGTTGCTCCGGCGCCCGCTACAATGACTGGTGCTGCTCCTAGTATGACATGTCCAGGATCTTGTCATTTCTCGTGTTATCCTCAATGCAGCCCACAGTGCTGTGCTACACAATACGTGCCAAACCCATGCCACCCCTCTTGCCCGGGCTACTGCGCGCCAAGTTGTGATAACGCCTGTTGTGCGGCTAGGAAATCCATTGTTAATAAGTAAGCTTCTTATTGTGTCAGATGCGAAAGCATTATACATTGTTAATTGGTAGCACAAAAGATGCAAGGAAGAACTTTTATCATTTACCAACAATATGTCAAACTAATGCCGGCTAAACTGATAAACAGACATGCTCTCCCTTACGCCTGGAACAAAGAGATGCAAGAAGAGACGTCCTCGCCCATTCGCACGGAGGGTCAAGGATTCTGTATTGAATTGTTCCTTCCTATGTATCAGTCATATATTCTTTAAGCTAAGCCTTTATTTTCCCTTTTCTTACCCAGATATTGTAATGATATTGTGGGACAAAATTTTAGTTACTCACGTCTGAGTTTATTTCAAATAGCAAATATTCCACGGACTTTGTTTTCTTTCAGGACTCTACATCTGCACACCACTTTAACTAGAGCCTCATTCTTGCGGCTAAACTCACTATTAAATACTGTTAGTCTCTCCAAACAGTACAGCCGGTACAGGAGTGCCCAACGAGCTATAGCACGTCAGATGTACCTAAGAAAACATCTCAAACTACCATTCAGACGTCCAAAACCAGTCAGACTGGCTCGACCAGTGCGGCCGAGACAGAGGTCTTACTACATGAGACGAGTTCGACCAGAGAGCCTAGGACTTGAAGAATATGACCGAAGTATCATTCATACTGCGCAGGCAGAAACATCTCCCAAACATGACGCTCAGTTTCTAAGTGTTTAATATGAGACTATGAAATGCGGTTGTTTCGCTCACGAGTCGTTTCGTCAACGACCAGTTCATTAATGTCTTTGGTCATTTCACTGTCTCAAGTCAGTTCGCTAGCGTCCTATAGGTCGTTTCGCTGATGTACTTTGGTTTACTGGACCGTAGACGGATGAAAACTTCCAAATTTATCCTTTTCTTTGTACCAAATCGACTTTCTGAGTGTATCGAATGGACTTAGTGGACGCATGAAATCGACTTTAGTTTGCCTTGAATCTACTTGTATCGAATGGACTTTCAGTTCATAAGGAAACGACTTAACTCCCCCTAAAACTTTTCAGTCAATTAGAAGTCGATTTAATACGTTTGCGAAACAACCTATGAGATGTTAGGGTTGGCAAAACAACCTATGACATTGGCGAACTGGTCGTTAGCAAAACGAATCCTAGGCGAAACCAAACGACCGGTTACCGAAATTGCAAATGAACACTGAAAAGAAAAACAAACAAACAAACAAACAAACGAACAAATCAGCAAATACAGAGTCTGGTATTAAGTTTACTTTCTTAATTAGGGACGATTTCCGCGGAATGCATCAAACGAAAGGTATTCTCTATTTACAGAACTTCAAGAGGTTTGGAACAGACCAAGACAAATTTATTTTGAAAAGAAATCAGAATGAAACTTCAATACTAAATACATCAATTCCAAATATTTTGGAGGATGACATTGTCATGAGAAAATCAAGATGTTACATTGTAATAATAAAATTCACATTTAGCTACAGGTAAACTAAGTTCTTTCCAATGTTTCAATAAATGCAACTGTACTATTTTCAATATTCTTTCCAGTATCTTAGCGTTCATTATGATATCAAAACAACACTTGTCTCGGGAGTTCACAGTTCACTCAGAACTGACAACTTTTAACCATTCAACTCCCACTACGTAATTTGTAATTCTCCCATCAACTCATGTACATTTTCAAACAACGAGTTATGAGAAGTTACATGTGAAACACTTCTGGAGAATGAAGGCGTACCATGGCGCACAGGCAAAGATGGGAAACGGACAGAATAAACAACAGGTGTATGGACCGGCACTTGGACGAAAAAGACTACACAGAAAATACAGACGGAAAGTTTATTTTTTATATCTTTTTGGAAGACTCTTTACGGTTAAAATGTTTCATTCCCCTTCGTCACCGTCAACATCATCATCACTCTCCTCCTCTGCCTCTTGTAACCACGTGATAAAGCGAGAAATCTGTGAGAAACAGAATAATGAAACACAAGCATACCACCACTGGAGATTTCCTCGCTATCCTTTGGTTTGTATTAATTATGATTCAGTGAAAACGTCATCATAGACAGCAAACCTTGCTGAGGTAGTTTCTCAAGAGTAATGTAGTGTTTGGTACAGAATTTGGAATAAAATTAATGAACACAAAGCGGAGGAGAGATGCAAAAGCAAAGTTAGGGACATATCACCGCGGAAAAGGCAAAACAAGGAAACAGTTACACGCATCAAGTAACAAAACTAACTTACTTGTTGTCGCAATAGTTTCCGCTGCGGTTCAAAGCTTCCGTCCTCTCCACCCGTTGGTTTGCGAGAATACCACTGAAGAATTAGGGCTTCCTCCAGGATTTCTTTGTCGTAGAGAAGGTGAAGAAACGTCTGACACAGTGGAGACGCCCACATGGCTTGCACAAAAAATTCCTGTCCACAAAGATATGAAAACTTCTCTCATTTTACTGCGTGAATACTCATTTTATAGAAAAACGAAATTATATCGTTACTCTATCTAACTAAAAAACATTACAGTTACATTGCAAGTTTAAACATACTGTTGGGTCTTTAAAATTTTAGTTTTCCATTTTTCTATCGCTAAGCTTATATCGAACCTGCGTCTGATTCACTTTGTTTTCCTTTTCGAACGAGAGCACCTCGAGGGTGATATAATTACAACACTGCTGCCACCAAGAAGAGCTGCAGACGGGTATATTAGCAAACAATTCACATTTCGTATGGAGCGCTTTACGATTGAGTGTCATAAAACCAAAACCGAAGTAATCACAACGGCCAATCAGAAGAAAGCAAAATATCTTTGAGAGCCAATGAGAACTCAAAGTAAAAACAGCCAAACTATCTAAAGCGCGGAAAACGCGAACGACCAAGTCAGAGTTGGTTTTAGTTTTGCATCTGATTGGTTGAGAGAGTAGCACGAGTTTTTTGGACCAATCACAAAGCGAAGTAAAGCAAAACCAATGCAATATCGCTCTTTCGCTCTGACGAAGGACAAGCACTCAAAACGTCAGCTTTAGAAACTCTCTATGGGGGGCAATTTACATTCTCAGCTCAGTTGATAAAATCAAATTAGAACGAAATATCGAATCACTTTCGACACAACTGAATTTTTTTCTAAACGAAAGTAAGACAAAACCAACCTCTGTTGCGTACAATACGTCTCTTTGTCCATCAGAATTCTTTATGTAGTTCAAAATCATCGGTAGCAGATGATCTACAGCCTGAGAAAAAAAAGGATTTCGCCAACTGAAAACGACTTCTTTCACACGATGATAATGGAGATGAGAAGCGGAAGAGGTCGTTTCGTAGTCAGCTTACCTTTTTAAGATTTTTAGACATTTCTTGCCTCTGCATTGAAGAATCGTGAAGAGAAGATTCCAGCAAAGATTTCACCACAGCTTGGTTTAGTTCGTGGAAGGTCACGTTGTATGCAAACCTGCAGTAAGATAAAGTTATTGTCCCATGAATATCCGTTATGCAAATAAAGAAAATAGCAAAAAGTAATGAAGGGAAAAGGAGAGGGGGAGGGCAGGGCAGGGCAGGGCAGGGCGTGCTAAACGCACGAAGTGTATATTTATATAGAGACGATTATACTGCAGAGGAGCGAGATTCAGTGTCGGTCTCGTCTGAAAGTCTGACATGTCTACACAGTCAACTTACTTTGAGGCATTTATCTCCAATATAAGGTTCTCTGGATCCACTTGATCTTCAACACCATGTCGTATGGACTCTAGGACTTCATTGTAAAACACTAAAACATAAAACGTAGAAGTGAAAGTAAAGCACAAGAGAGTCTTAACCGCGGGACTCGCTAAGCTGGAGGTGTACGCATTTTAACTTTTCTTGGTGAGTATTCGATTCAAAGAGGAGCGAGAGGCAACAGAGAGAGAAACAAGATACTGTTTCCTTGTCTAGTTGTAAATAATTCTGAGAAGACAATAGTCCCACGCACGGAATCAGTTAGCAATAGAGAGCATTACGAGTTTAAATCTTCTCTTACCACTTTTACCCCTCAACCTGAGGTCCTACTACACAGTCCTCCCACCCCACCCTCTTCCCATATCAGACAAATCATTGCAGGGTACCCAGTCATTACAGCTCTATCGAGTCTTGTAGGAATTACTTACATCTGCTGTCCTCCTCAGGTAGTGGGCTACCAGGGGGGGTTCTTTCTTCACTGGAAATTGAGCTCACTTCATCCTCACTTGAACTGACTCTATCAAGTCCTAATCAATATCAAATAGTGTACTTTCAATTACAATGAATATCACATGAAGTATGCCAATGACAATTGGATGCAAGAAAAACAATAAAATGTACATTGTTGCACCTACTTACAGTAAAAAAAAAAAACTAAAATTTAGTTTGATTATACCACAAGCTCATGTAACAACACTGTACTTAATTCATTGGCAGCCAAGCTGCAGACAAATATTGTCAGTTCATTGATAATTTTCATAATAACCCTTAGTGTCCTGAGTTGAAAGTAAATCGAGGACTTGAGGAAGTATTTGTATGTGTCACATAAATATTTTCTCTCACCCCACACATCTTGTACTCGCTCCATTTCATCATCAGATTCTACATCAGGTCTCCACACATGTCCTTGTCCTTCACTACCAACCTCCTCTGGATTAAACTCTATAAAAAGGATCATCTTTACATCTTTACATACACCAAGTATCTGTGCTCAATAACTGTACATGTATGTATATAGTACTAATGATTTCTATGTTTTTGCTGTATTTTCTTATGACCTTGTTACATGGTTATTAGCAGATGACTTCAAACAATGGCTAACAATCTTCTGGATATTTCAGTTTGTGCTTTAGATGTAATTCTCATTCTAATAATGATCTAATAATCAAAGTTTTATTTAGCTGCAAACTAACTTCAGGCCTTTGAGAAAGATTCAGCTCACTTTTAAGAGTTAATAATTGCTAAATGCAGAATGTAACATCCTTTACACAAGAACACAAGTTAGAACACAGTTACAGAAAATAACAAACCAACAGACCATCATTTTGTTCAGCAACTGGTTTTTCATCAAGGGATAGGTCATCCATTCCAAATTCTGTTTCATCCTCAGTCTTTCTCTTCAGTGTTATTTTCACTCCTGGAGAGAGAACTAAGTTGGGCCCAACCACTACCTAAATATCAATAATAAAATTTTGTGGTTTGTTTGTACATGTACAACACAAACAAGGGCATGGCTAGGGAGGGTCCTGGGGTGCCTGTGGATCCCCCCACCTCCTTTGTAAGCCTTTTTTAGGTAAACAACCTATAATATTCTGGCGAGTACCCTCTGTTTGACATAGTGTGACCCCCCTGCTTTGAAAAATCCTGGCTATGCCCCTGACAAACATTTAATTTTTACTGGACAATAAAGAGATTGTCTTACAATGTACACAGTCAAGGAGATAAACTTATTTACTAGAATACTTTAATTAGGAATAGTTACCAAGTAATTTTGTACATTGTGAGCCAAAAAGGCACATGAACTAAGAACATGTACTTCAAATAACTTTTGAGAAAAAAGTGACCAAACTAGGATAAAGAGAACTTGGCATATCACTTACATTAAATGAAATAATTGATCCCCCAGTAATTGTTACATTCCTATGCACAGGGCAGAAAGAAAGTGAACAAAAATTAAGATAACTGCAGATTGTAAAATCATTTGTGTACATGGTACAAATGCAATTAAATTCATGTGAGATACAAAAATAACATCAACATGTTTCATCACTCTTTTTTTCTTAAACAAGAAACTATATATTTCATCAATGTCAAATTGTTCAGCTATTGTGTACCTTTTGATATGCACATTTTTGCACAGAATTGATTTTGAAATATTACATCCATCATCTACTTTCACATTATCCCAGAGATGAACACCATCTAGTCGTACATTATCACCTGAAAATCATTCAATCACTCAATCAGTCAGTTGAAGTTAAAGTACAGTGCAGTGTGGACAATTAGTTAATAGGGAAAGAAAGTGAAACAATGTCATAATCCTAACAAAAAACATTCAAGACAAAAATTACACACTAAACTGCTGACAGTAGGAAGTAATTGGTGAATTTAAATATCTTTTTTAACAATGTAAGCAATTTTTTTATATGATATATCACATATGCAAAATGTCCATGGGAAAAGCTAAATGCTTTACAAGGAACAGCCACAAACAAATGTAATAAGATTTTGTCCTCACCTATAATGCAGTTTCTACCTATAACAGAATTTGTGATCACTGTTCCAACACCTACTGAGGTTCCCTTACTAATTAAAAGATTTTCCTCTAATACACAATTCCTGTAAGATGGAAAAAATGTAAACTTAAGCTTGCTGAAATTTCATATAGTTTATTAGAAGGCAGAGTGTAATGAGAATGAATGGGGCAAATAATTAAATACATGTAAGATAAGTACAAGTTTATAACTTACCTGGCAAGTGAGAGCTCACTGTCAAGGTAAACATTGTGTCTTGTGAATGAGTAGGAGTAGTCCATGAAA